CGTTCGTCAGAGTTGTCCGATTTCTCCATTTTTGTTCAATTTCGTCGTAGACTCTGTCATGCAGTGTTCGCTTTCCGAATCTCACGATGTAAACGTTGAGAACCTGCCTGGTGAAAGGTTAATTGATCTCGATTATGAGGACGATATCGTCTTACTTCTCGACATGTTGCGGCGCAATCAACCCTAAATAACCTGTCTAGAGTGGTCCTACTATTTGGTATGCGCTTCGCACCTTCAAAGTGCAAATTGCTGCTGCAAGACCACCAGCCACTTTATGACCCGTTGACACTTGATAACGAGAACTCGAGGTGGTTGATCAATTCACTTATCTTGGCAGCTGCATCAGTAACGATGGGCGCATAGAAACTGACGTCAGCTCACGCATTGCAAAGGCCAGAACTGCCTTCTTGAACCTGCGGCATCTTTCGCGACAGAAGAGAGTATCCCTCCGCCTGAAAGACCATGTATACAAGGCCACAATGAGGACCGTCCTGCCATATGGTAGGGAAACTTGGCCCCTTCGGCCTGAAGATCTGAGGCGCCTTCAAGTCTTTGATCACCGTTATCTGCGAAAGCATTGCTGGTGTCGGATGGAACCAGCGTATACGCAACAAAGATGCGCGTAGGCGAGTACTAGGTAGCGATAATCATGCTAGCTCGTTAGAACAACAGATAACACTAGATAAGTTGCGTTGGCTCGGACACGTGCTACGTATGCCTGGTCACCGCTTACCGAGGACTAACCTTGTTTAGTCTGCCAGGGGTAGGGAGGCGCAAGGCTCGTGGTGGAGAGAAGTTGACTTTGGCAGCGAGAAATGAAGTCACTGACGACCAAACTGGGTGTCGTTGGTCCGTCTCGCCTTTCCGGGCGGAGCCCACGTGAAACGCCTTGTGCGTGGGCCGAGACTTTACAGGACATGGCTCGCAACCGACACAGTGGCGCGTCTGCTGCCGTCTCCTAATCGAATTGCCTGTTTAAAGTGTGTTTGGTGCTGAGTTATCTGTGGGGTAATGACTGATTATGACGCGTGGCAGTGAAAACCGCAAGGAAGCTGTCTCGCCGATGCCGGCTTATCTTTGCACGATAGCCAGCTGTCTATGACGGTATGCTGTCTAAACAAGGTGTAATCGCCTTGACCCTGAATGTTTGCTTAGGGCATTACAGTTCTCAGGTAAGTCCCCCTTCTCATTATTTATTTCATAGGTCATCATGATTGTATGGCAGCGAAGCATCAGTTCAAATGGCTGATGTACTGCTGTTGTTGATGATTGATGACGTGTGCGGATGGCAGCATTTGCGAGGTCAGTAGAAGTCTCTTGCTCAATAGGCGTTGACGAGGAGAGATAATTAAGCAGAAGAATGGGGAGCACTGTCGATTGTTTTCATACATCGAATGTCATGTTGCATATACGTACATAAAAGATCATATTCGTGATCGGTCCACTACACTAACTGTTCCTCCCTCCTATCAAGGTAGCAATAAAGAATGACATTTCAACAGGATACTCTGATTTCAGATATCTCGGGCCTTCTCATCATCTGTTGACATAATCTATGTAATGGTGTTGCATTTAAAAAGAAACAGTTTAAATCTCTTTGCGCAAAGGGTTACGGCCGCAGAAATGCTGAAGCAGGCGAGCATTTCTGTCGGTTATCCTGAGCGATTCGCGGGCAATGGAACCTGTCGGCAGCTTGGAATGTGCACTGAGGTCCTAGTTGACATCCTTCTCAGTTCGACCGACGTACTTGCAACCACAAATACAATAAAAGTGGTAAACACGTGAGATGACAACTAAGTCTGGCTTGTCCAGATTGGATTTACATAGTAGCTTCCTTACTTGATGCAATAACACGCGCTCAGACGATAAATGTTCCTTCTTGTTATCTTTAACTTTGTCAAGGAAAAATCCTGCATTAAATGATGAGGGTCAAATTACGACCATATGCGAGTTGCAATACGTTCGCTTTTCGTGAACTGTATCATCATGGTTAGAATACAAGACACTGCGTTACGCAATTCCAATTGAGGCCACGGTCAACCACGACTTTAAACGTAGTGCCCACCGAAGGTCGGTGAAATCATGTGAAAGTGAGACGTGCTTCACGCTTCACCAGCTCGATAGGCTACTAGATCCTAACACTTGTTCTTATATTAGCAGATTTTCCCCCACTGTCTTATGCTTTAGCATCAAAAAACCGACCTTTGTGCATGGAAGAAATTTGTCCATTCCATCGGTCGTCTACTTCGTACACAGGCTACCAGGCCACTACCCCCGACTAGACTACTCACGAAGCTCTATCGACTAGATAATTCGATCCAGTGACACTGCGCTTAATTCCCATATGTTCCAGTACCCTCGTTTTGTTTGCATTAGTCTGACGAACCACTGGAGACGGGTTTATTCCTTAACTCGTGTGTATGATGTTCAATTATTGTCTCACAGCTTCTAGGTTCATGTTGGCGCCAAGTTATCGGGTCCTGCAGTTTTTCTAACCCTCTGACGATGTCTTGCCTGTTGATGTTCCGACTTAGGGAGAATCATGGGAACACAAGGCATTCAGCAATTTGTGGGGCGCTTCATCTACCTAAAGCCTCCGCTAATTGGTCCCGATGCAGCGATCGCCCTTTCGTCAAGTCGAAAAATTACTACTTGGTGAATGCTATGAATACTTATCACGCATACCGACTCTGGAGTGCGAAGCAACTAATACCAAACATCCGCATTTTGTAGTAGAAATTAGCACTTTTGTGTTAAGCGAGATGATAAACAAATACGACACAGATTCATCGGCGTCGAGTTTTACGATCACTTTGACAGCAGCAAGACAACGTGCCGTTGACGGTGACAGTCGAGCCACCATATCCCGCGGAGCAGTCATGTGTGTGCCACTGGCATTTGACACAGTTACTGTCGCCTAACGCGGTACGTCTTCATTTACATATCAAATTATTACTGTGCGCAGTATGAAATTGTGATGTACCAAGACTAGGCACCATTGCACCAAGAGCCAGTAGTTTATGAGGGATGGGCAAATAGTACGGACCGGCCATAGACCAAACCAGTATCCTGACACAAGGTAAATGGTTAGAGCCTGCAGACATTTGTATGCCAGGGGAGACGCATAAACAACGCGAGAACGCACCGCGCAACATCCTGGGAGACGCCCGCAGATTGATAGGACAGTATGTGGTCGAATTTTCGTTAACTTTATTGCGTTTGTGGTATTTTTTGGATAACCTCTGGACATTTTGTAATTATTGCGGATTCGTTGCTAACCAATTTACTTCATAGGCTAATTTAGCGAAGACTTATGTCGGCATTACGGTATGCTTTAATAGACATGTTTGATTTGATAATGTATTTCCAAGTGATTGGCTGTTGTTTGAAATCTCCGGTGTGGCTGCGCTTGCTGACAAGGTGTCTACCTTTCTATTACCCATTACCTCGTCCATACTGGCTCCAGGAGACAGTTGATCGTTTCTGGAGGGGACGAAGTGCACGGTCCTTGTGGCCGTTCTAGGCTCGAAGAGTGGTTCCATGCACTCAGTGTGGAGCGGACCTTCTGCGCGCTTGATTCCCCAAATATAGCGTGCCTTTGTTTGCCTGTGAAGGAATGTGGGCCGGCTCCGTTGATGAAACATGGCTCCATCCACATGCCTCGGGTTTGCACTGAACATGGGGTATGTGGATGGAACTGCGGGTGGTGCAACGCAAGCCATCCATGGTCCCTCAATAGGCGTCCTATGGCTGCAGTGACAGGCAAATCCGAAACCGGATGCCGCGAACCATGTGGTCGAATTTAATGCACGCCATTAATAATCCAACTAACAACTTTTCAGTTCCTGTGGTTCGTTTTTATTCCGCGTTTATATCCAGCCACTGGAAATATTTGCCCCAAGATGCGTCAAGCGTCTACACTGAATGAAAATGCCACTCTAAACGTCATTTCATGTCCTTGTGCCTCAAAAATTATAGATTTTGTGCAGCAGTTGCTGTGATGAGAGAATCCACGATGCAGTTTATTGGCCGTTGTCTTTGCCCCCATTTTAGTTGTGCATCAAACGACGAGATCCGGCCGCAATGAAAGATCTGCTCCAACTCATTCCAAAAACGGAACCCGAGTACACCGAAATGGTTTATTATCTATCCATCCCGGTAAGTTCAACCACGAGTGCAGATGACTGATGTATCATCGATCTGGTGCTTACTGTGGTTGCTTCCGAGGCTGCAATCATTCCGATGTAGATATCCTCCAGTCTCTGACATATGCGTTCGTGCACCGTAACATAAGAGAGCGGAAGATATCACACTTCACCTCCCAAAAAATCCAGTCACCTGTGTTAATATGATAAATTAAGGAATTAAGGACGGGATCTTACACAGAGCGGAACAAGAGTGCGTAGATGAACTCGAAGTGTCAAGTCATATTAACGTTTTTTGTGACTAACACTGATTCGATATGTGGCCATGTGTCCCGACTCTCACCGCTAGCTAATGAAAATGGGTCAGAGATGTTGTTATATTCTACACGTACGAACGCAGTAATGGCTGATGGCTAAACGACGCGAAGACAACAGAACAGAACCAGCTTCTAGCATACAAACGTGTATTCTGGCCAGCACGTGTATAGGGCATCGATCAAGTAACTGAAGCCTAGCCATTGGTGAATGTGTAATCCATAAACAGACACATGCACACGGTCATTGCTGGTTGTGGACACGAATTGGAGATGGTGACTCATACGTCACAGGTGCTTACTAGCGTCGCATTGAAAGCCGTTCGTTAATAACAACGATTTAGAAATCGCTCCATTTCAAAGCATCTAGGCGTTTACAACCGCTCAAACGGTACATTAACGAACACTATCGCTTGTGTGGACCACGACTCAGATTACTTATCCGTAAGAACAAATACAGCGAGTCATTTATCGGTTTCAACTGGCTACACTGTAAATCCAGTGTTCTCTCTTTACTCACCAGTTCTGTGCAAGGTCAATGTATTTAACAAAACATGCATTTGATTATAGGTCAATCAGTGGAAGGACAAAAAGGAATCAAAGTCTTAATCGGTGAATGTACAGATGTGGTCGCAGCGCAATGCTATGCTATCGTTTCGCAGTTCCAATGTATCCGTTCAACTTTGAATCCCGCGTTCTACTGTGACCATTCATTTCAGTGGTGTACCGTTTCCACGTAGACCCTACGAGTTTGTACGCATCATTCCATGGTGAAGTCGTTTGTTTTCTTTTTCCTTCAGTTGCTTGGGCTAGTATCATCGTGCGCAAGACGATAGTTCCAAGGGCAGAACCGAGTGAAACTGCTGTCTTAGTGAATACTTCTCGCACAACAGAGACGGAGTTGTCTTCAATCAACCTGAAATTGTGGGAGCAGCGTGAACCAGATGATTAAGAACCACTAACACGTATCAAAACCGAAAAGGTCGACTGCTTTGTGGTTACAATGACGAGGGCAGACTAACAGTGGTATAAGTAGATTGGGTATGAGGTGCATGGATTCTAAGCTAAGCTTATCTCTCAAGTGTCCCAACAAGAATTTCGATTGCACAACGAGTGTCTCGGAGGTCTCCAAACCGCTCACTGATTGTACAACTGGCACATGGACTATTCGTAAACAATTTTCACAGGAATCGCACGGCAAACTCGTTTCCATACTTGATGTACTGGCTTGCTTCATAGTGACTATCTTTCGCATGAAACTGCTCAAGCCTCAATGAACACAGCTGAGGAAAAAACATTTTTAAAAAGCCGCGTGATTCAGAGACCCGAGTGAAGATGCGATTGAGCAGCATCCGAGCAATTATCTTCACGATGCAACCTAACAAGTTGACGCCTATCCGGATGGTCTCACTCACTCCACGGGCGTCAGCCATCCAATTCGGAGATTTCCTTTGACCCCGACCGAACACAATTACAACAGCAGGGTCACATTTGCTAATCTAAGAGCATTGCTACTTTTATTCATACCTACGTACACACACAGATCCAACATGCTATTAGCAAAGCTGCCTATGCAGGCGTGCTTCGCATTGTCGAGATTAAATGATTTATTTATGATCGTTAGCAGATGGCTTGCTCTATCTGCCCTTGGGCACAAGGACATCATTCACCTCAGTGGAAACTTATTCTTTAGACGAAAACGGGTTCTACAAGTAGCGTAGTGCATATGGCATCACGGGTCCGCTGTTCCTTAGCACTTCTGGCCGGTATCGAGTTGGCTCTGGCACACTTGCCGTTTAGCAAGTGCTCTCCGTGTTTCATGGAGTGCCACAGTGTCGGCAAGACCATCATTCACGCCTTATTGTTGCAAGTAATCCCAGTCTATCTCTGCAGGGTTGTTCAAAAGACGGTCCAAATAATTGCGCCACATCTGCAGTCTGTGTGCAGACAGCGCCTGAAGCAGAATCCTCACTGACTGCAAGTTAAGCCCATACACTGACTTTCATGAATCTCCATATGTTGACGGCGTTCTGTGTAGAATTCCATGCGCTCCATCTTCTCCGCCCACCATGATCCGGAGCCAATCACGGATGCATCTTGCGAAGCTTATCCTCCGAGTTGACGGGGCCCTATTCAAGCGCAAAAAATGCCGCATTTTTCTCTGAAACCAATACTACAATAGTTGAGCTGTTGTCATCAAGCCAATCAGACCGCTTACAGTTTGTGTGCCTGATTGTTCCATTGGCAGTAACAGTGACATCTGTCCCTTGTGGTGCCTTAGGGCGTTGACCGAATAAATGGAACCGACAACATAAAAGTGGGTAGCCATCGTATTCACCAGCTCCAGCAACTTCACAGCATTGCCGACCAGTGGCCGTAGGGATAAGGCTTCTGCCAACGGTCACCGGTTCGAGCCTGCGTAGGTGCTGGCGACCTCGCAGTATTCTTAGCCCGCTCGCAAATGGTGGTGGTCGCGTAGCAGTAAAGAGATGGTATCATGTACTGGCTCCTGCTGTTATCTTGTTACAGGAGCGCGGATATTAAATTTCCCCCGGTTCATGGCAGATGAGCAACACATGGGTCTAAGAAAATATATGTACAATCTAGCCCAAAATAACTACTACACATCAGTTCGACGCTTGGCTCAACACAGTACACAGCGTGACGCGTACTTCAAACTCATTACACACTAGTAGATGCGAAACACATCAACTGTTGGGCCGCAATACAAAAACATAAGGTATACACTAAAGCGAGACACTAAACATCAAGGAGTATTAAGAAAAAACGAGCAATACTGCTTATCAACGAATCATATTATAACAGAGAGATGATGGTGAGAGGAAATATTTGCGGGATGGAGGGCACAAAAAAACACATAAACGTAATACAGCTTCACCCCTTGCTACATCGACTAGTGTATCCAACCAAACGTGTTCATCGTCCTTCGGTCCCCAGTCCCGCAGCCAGTAGACACCAACTTCGAAGTCATAGTCTTCATTCCTATTTGTCGAGTCATCGCCAAACTACCCTCTTCTTCATCCATCCACACCTTCGGCGCGCAAACAATGCACGTCGCGGAGGTCGGTGTGCTGGCATGACGCAACACGCGGCCCAGCCATCGGAGCGTGGTGCGTGAACTAGCTGGTGCTGAGCGGTTCACTCGCTCTTCCGGCACCAAATACACGACGCCTAAACACTCATTGTTCACGCGGTTACTCCTACCAGACATGAGCTAAGCTGCGAGGGCAGCGATGATCGAACGCAACTGAACTCCTCATGTATGTCGACTTCATGGGCCAGGTTCTGTAACCGTACAGGAGGATTGAACGGACGGCCTGCATTGATGATGATGACTGCCCTTCAGGGCGAGAGTGGTGTCACGTTGGCGTCCGTAGGTGGCGGACATTAGCAAAAGCACCTCGAGCTTTTGCTATGCGGTTTGTGATCTCATCTTCCATTCCACCGGCGCTGATATAGCTGTCTAGATACTTGAATTTCTCGACGACTGCTAGCTGATCACCCTAAGGGTCAGCGCAGAGGTGGGTCCGTGCCAATCTTAGTAAAGGACTTTGCATTTCGAGAGTGCAAAGCATGGCCGAAACGACTGACCAGCCGGTGCAAACTTGTCGTGCTGCTTGACACGTTTAAGAGCTGTTACAGATGAGTGCAATATCGTCAGCGTACTCCAAGTCGATCATCTGGAAGCAGGTCCGCGCTTTACAGTTTCCATGACTTCGTCGATGGAGAAGTTAAAAGGAAAGGTGACAGCTAGCATCCTTGTCTCACACCGCTGGAGATATCGAAGGGCGACGATAGGAACCATAACTCCGGTTTGCAGGGACAGATACCTGCCAGTTGGAGAAGCCAGATGGTTAAAAATGCGTACCATACGCAGACAACCGACTTCAGGAAGCGCTCTCTGTACACCGTAGAGGGCCACTGATTGCATATTTATCAGATGTTATTAGCAACTGGCATGTTTTCCTGTGGCTAATCAAATTACCAACGTGGACATTGGGTCTTTTTGCAGTTTCTGGAATTTTCGGATGCTCGCCTACACATTCCGCTTGCGAACGAACACAACAAGGTTCGCAAAGACCTCAGGACACAACTCTGTGCTAGTATGAAGAAAGACTAAGAAGTGTGATGGTCTCGTCGTGCATCGGAGATTAGAATGGCCGCCGCCACTGGTAACCAACGGAAATTATTTCATCTGATATGCCAAACGGGCAGGAGACCTGGTGTTAACTAGACCATACGTGGGGTGGTCGGCCAATCCACAGTTTGTCAAAACGCTTGAAGCGTTGGACCGGATAGTTTGAGAAGCAGCCTACTCAACCTGAGTTACCAGCTTCTTCATCAGCCAGTGATTACCCTCTTACCTAGGCCGTCTTTCTGGATCAGCCTTTACGCGCAGAAGTTGAATGTGAGATCAGATTGCTGAAAATGAACAAGGCAGCAGGAGCAGACAGACTTCTTAAAGTCCTCTCCAAATTCGGGAGACCGGCTCTTGTGAAGGATCTGAACAACTTACAAGTGGAGCTGTTGGAACAGGAAACTGTTCCAGCAGATTGGAGTCGCTCCGTTATGGTTCCTATTTTCAAAGGGTGCTCAACGTTAGGAATGCGGCACTCATAGATAAATCAGTCCGCCTTAATTGCCTCTAAAGTACTCGCCCCTGTCATTCTTTATAGACTTGCTGGCACCCGTGAAAGCCAGATTCGTGAGCAGCAAGCCGGGTTTCGTCGAAGTCGCGGCTGCATTGATCACATCTTCACTTAACGTAAACCGTTGGAGCACCGCCAAATTTATCGGCGAACTACAGTAGTCGGGTTCCTCGACATCAAAGGTGCCTTCGATTCGGTTGACCGATGTGCCCTTTGGGACTGCCTACCCAGGAATGGTGTGCCCGAAAAATACGTGGACATTAACAAAGCGCCTTATGTGCATAGTTCAAGCAGAGTGAGGGTTTACAGCAAACTATCGTCGCCCTTCGATATCTCCAGCGGTGTGAGACAAGGATGATCGCTGTCACCTTTCCTTTTTAACTTCTCCATCGACGAAGTCATGGAAACTGTAAGGCGCGGACCTCCATCGGAGGTCGAGGTCCGAAACGCGATCACAGCTCTTAATCATTTTCGTGCCGCTGGCCCGGATTTCCTCCCACTTGCACTATTTAAGGATGGAGGTGAGGTCCTCTGCAAAGCACTGACCTTCCTATTCGAACGTATCTGGAAGAGTGTCCCGGCTGATTGGAACGAATCGATTATAGTGGCAATATACAAGAAGGGTAGTCGCACAGACTGTATTAACCCAACGCCAGTTGTGACAAAATTACTGGCCTTGATCCTCGTTCGTCGCCTCACTGTGGAACGGGAATTTCTGATTATAAAAGAGCAGGCATGTTTCCGCCCAGGGCGTGGCTGTACAGACCATATATTCACTGTGGCAGGTGCTAAAGCAGCGCCACGCAGACCGAGAATAGCTGTGTTCCTCGGTTTCAAGAGTGTGTTCGATTCAGCCGATCGATCGGTTCTGTTCGAAACACTTGCGCGGAAAGGTGTTCCCACGAAATATGTGAACATCCTACATGCTCTATACTCGTACACTACAGGCCGCGTCAGCGTCTACGGTGACCTGTCGGATAGCTTTCCGATAATAAGTGGTGTTCCTCAGGGTTATCTGATTTCCCCATTTTTATTCAATTTCGTCGTGGATTCTATCATGAAGTGTTCCCTTTCGGAATCTCACGATGTAGGCGTTGAAGTGCTGCCTGGTGAAAGATCAGTTGATCTTGATTATGCGAATGATATCGTCTTGCTTTTCGACGATGTTGCGGCGGCACAATCAACCCTGAATAGCCTGTCCAGAGTGGCCCCATTCTTTGGAATGCGCTTCGCACCTTCAAAGTGC